TACAATGAATTGATCAATCTTTATTTTATACAAGAAAATGAAATATTTAAATGTATTTCTAATGATGTATTTATAGTAGACAAAAAGATTTGTTACTGTAGGGCGCCAAAAAAGAAAACCCACCACAAATAGAGTAATGTTATTACAAAGAAAATGAAGAGAGAGAGAGAAAGTGAGTGAGTAAGTGAGAGAGAGCAAGGGGAGTGAAATTAATATGTGATTAATATATGATTAAAAAAATTGATACTGTTCACTTAAAAAGGAAAAATCCCACCTAGAAAGATTTCTTTCAGTTAAGGGAAGTAAACTCACTTTTATAAAGAATAATTATAGATTTGTCATCAGTTTCTATTCCAAGTTAATGTCTAAAATAATATTCCAAGTCAGTGATTTGGATAATCAGTAGAATATCAACTAGGGGATAAGAAAATATAGTGATGATATGTTATCAAACTGACTACCTTTCCACTGTTCCTACTCAATCGCATTGTAGATGAATAATCCTCACTATGAAAGTCACTGAAATAATATCTTCAAGATATGTCCTAGCCACCGAACCCTGTTTCAAACTGATATCACCAGCTGAACTACTATCACTGCATTCAACACACAAACTACTAAACCTCGGGATTAATAACGAAATGTTGTCACTAGACAACAGAAATCATTTGTAGCCATCAATGAATGGATATAGGGAGTTGTCCGAAATTTTCAGTTTGACGAATTTAGGTTTCACAAACATACAGTAGAACTGCTCTCGCTGATTTACTGTATTATTGATATTTATGGTCAGATCAACATCATAATAGTGTCGAAGATAACCCAATCAGTACTAGAACACTTTGAACTTCATTATATGTAGACTGATGTTAACTTCAATACCACCACTAGGACTTATAGAGATTCACATAATTTGATTTTCTAAGGGATATATATATATATATATATATATATATATATATATATATATATATAACTAAACGTACATGTAATTCTTCATTGGATTTAACCAATAAATCTCCCGTTTGCTCTTGATCTTCCCACTCAAGTAGTTGATTGCGAGTGTTTATAAGGGCTTGTTACCTAAAATTTCCCAACCAGTGAAGTTAACTTGCTGACTAAAATTTCATTTTCTTGATTGATAAATGATCTTCGGTCTAAAGTCCAATCCATATGAATTGTGGAGCTTCAGATATTGAACTAATTTACAGACCCCTAATTTCTTAGATGAATCAGTATTCACTGTTTTAAGGAACTTAAGATAGTATAACTGGCAGTGCTGCGGCAACAGACTAGTTGAAATGTCTCTACCTAACATTTAAAACACTTTTTTAGCTACAAACTAACGTACTCTCAACTTCACAGACTGTTTTATTCACGCAAAACGTCTTTCTTTCAATGGCTGCAGTAGGTTTAAACAACTTCTAAAAGCTATCTATTGTTTATAAGCAGGATAATTTCAGAAGCTGCAAGAAAATTTGCCTGAAATTTTTATAGCGTTATACAATTGCAACCACTACACATCAACACTTTACTTTGGACTGGTAGCTAACTTTGAACCTTGCTTAGTTTGATATTTAGTTCAGAAGTGTAAACAAGTTGCCTAAACTAATCTAGTTTAAATAATAATGATCAGTTCATATCACGAAATGATCAAAATCCATATAAATAATCGAAAATGGACTACAACGTTGTATAGATATCGATAGTTGATCAAAAATATAAACGATTTGACTTCATAGATGAATAAATTCAAAGAACATATCGATCATGATAGTATAGGAGGTTACACTGAGAAAACTTTGAAATATGTGGATAAAAGTAAAAACATTAGACAATTTCTAGAAGCTTGACAATCAATTCAGTCAGTAATCATTAGACATCTATTACAATAAATTGGATTTGTAAAATTATTTGAATAATTATAATTAACTGTAAAATAAATTAAAAAAAAAAACAAGTCATAGGAAAGGACAGTGTCAGGAAATTACAGGGTAAACACCAATAATAATAACTATTACTTGATCATTTTTTGTGAAAGTACTAATTCCGTGAAGAAATGTGAACACAAATAACCAAGATAATGTAATAGAAATATTATAATACTAGATTACGTAATATAAATAATAACTATAGATTTGTGATTGCCCCTTCCAACCAAACAAGTTGGTGAAGTGTAGTAGGTCTTTATAGCGAGAAACAGGCCATATTGAAGCACGGCACAACTACTGGGGATAGAATAGCTGTTTTTGCAACCGGTTGGGGTGATGAGCGACCCCCGTATATTATATGTACCACTTTTGTCAATTTTTTTGTCTTTTTTCTACCCAAGAGTAATTGTGCTGTGATTGTTTGTGGATTTGGTTATTGGTCTGAGGGTATCGTTCGGGTGGGTGATTAGCCCGATCTCTACCACCCGGGGTTACCGCTCGCGTTAGTTCATGAGTCATCCGTCCCACTATCCAGGAAGCACGACGCGGACGTGTGAGTCGGGTTTTGCTTGTCAACAATAGATTTATTGAATGTAACAAGATGATCAAAATGTTTTGTCACGATAATTAATCATTGTATTCATCTTATTACGTCCACTACATCTATTGTTATTATTCTTATTACGTAGTCTAGTATTATAATCTTTCTATTACATTATCTTAATTACTTGATCAGTGTATCGATAGGACAAAATACTAGTTTAAATTCCTTATGTATTGTTTACTTGAATCTTTCTATTAATGTTTAAGACTGAAATTGATCGGTCTCTTATTGGCAAATATGCATCCTATACAAATTGTCTCTATATTGTCACAATCAATCTAAGCAAAGATGACTAATGGCTAACAGTGAAATCCAGGACACATTCAAGTCTCTAAATGAATATCAACTATAAGATACAAATACATCCAGCTGATGAATCTCAAATAGGACGAAACACACATCCTAGATTTAACTATTAGTCATTATCCATCTTTACTTATTTAATCAAATAGTTTTCATAGATAAAATAAATAACTTAACAACTAAAATGAATGTTATATATTCAAATCATACAGAGAAAAAAAATTTTTTCCATCTTAGTCTAATAAATATTAGTTAGTTAGTTAGTTAGGTAGGTACGTAGATAGTTTAAAATTCAGATCAAATGCATATTCATTGTCAAACATTAATAATTAAAAAACAAAAAAAGTACAACCTTGAAAATTTCCAAATGAATATTTGATTGTTTTTTTTTATTTTCATTTTCTTTAAAGAAAAATATATATAAAAAGAAAAAAAAAGGATTCATAAATAATTTGTGTGTTCATACATTTACTGAACAAAATTTTGTTTTCCAAGTAATAGGGTTTTTTCTTTTACTTTTTCTTCTTCCGCTTCTTTTTCTTTTTCTTCTTCTTATTCCTCTTTCTTTTCTTTTTCTTTTTCTTCTTTTTCTTCTTTATTTTTAAATTTCCCAAAGTTAAACTTTATTTTAAGATAAGTTCATTGATTAAATTACTATTACTATTAGTATTATTATTGTTACTAAAGATACAAATAACCTTCAAGACTGAATTTTCATTGATCTTTATTGGTAATATGAAAATCCTGTGAGGATTATCTTGATCTATCTATCTCTACATTTTTTTTTATTGTATGATTTATTAAGGAGAAATAATTTGTGATAATCTATGCATGATTTGTATAGGTTAAACAAAAAAAAACAAACTCGGATCAATATTTAATCCTAAATCTTCAACACTATAATAAGTTAATGAGACTATAATTTATGAATGAACCAATCATATTTAAGATAGTAAATTTTAAATTTTGGCGTGAAATTCATTCACACTTATTTTGTTAAATATTATTTTGGCATTAAAGATGATATATCAATTCATAATGAAAAATATCAAATCTAATTCCTAATCCTAATATTCAACTGTAAATCTTGATCCTAATTCTTTGGACTAGTTTATAACTATCATTGAGTTCTAGTTAATTGGTGGATATTCTCAAAGTCACTATAGACTTGCTCAAATATAGTGCATTAGGAACTATAGGGATTCAGCAGCTTAATAGATAACATGTCATTATTTAAATAGGAATAGACTGGATTCCAGTTTATTTAAAAATTAAAATCGGGATATAGGTATACTTCGCTAACACGATGTAAACAAGCCAAAACGTACGTACTGAATACGATTCCTATCCACAGTTTATCTTCTCTACAAAGTAGATTAATATTGTTTCTAGTTATTCTCCCAAATAATCACAATAAATAGTAACTGAACAGATGAATAATCCATACACACAACTCATTCTATGTTCACTCCAAGACTTGAGCCAAGTACCGTTCGTCTCAAACGCGTGTTATCCACTTAGTTACTGAGTTTAAACAATCTACGACATTTTTAAATTGAATTAAATCTTATACATGTTGAAAAACTGAATGGCTGTTCGAACTTACTAGTTAACTGGATAATGGGATGGGGTTCAAGATAAATCATACCATGCTCAAACTAGGTAGTATATATCAATCCTAAGATCCAGGCACATTCATCTGACAAATCGCAAATAAAATGAAATTCACTAACTGCTTTCCATTTCTAGACACATTACATTTATTCTATATTACCTTGTATCATAACAGCTATATTGAGCCACTCCATATACGACGCCTATATTTCAACCAAGATTGATTTAATTTCAGCTAAAAATGATATTAACAATGGGATAATTCAAGCCATTTCAAATTGAAGTAATTAACTTATAGTGGTTATTAGAAAAAGTATTTGACAGCACAATAATTTCAATCATTACTTGTATCTATGTGTATCACTTTATTATCTTTATTATATACATTAATGTACATATATATATATATACACAAGTGTGTGTATGTGTGTGTGTATATGTATATGTATTTAGAAATATATATTTAACATACTGTCGCCTTACATGTAATTTTGAAGATAAGCCAAGCAAATTAAAAATTGTCTAATTTGTTTTTTCGTTTTAATTAGACAATGAAAATAAAGCGACAAGTTTTCTAAAAATAAAAAAAAAACGACGACAACAACAACAACAAGAAAACGCTGTTAACCAATAAAACTTTTTTTTTCACTTGGTAACAGATGATAAATTAGTTGATATCTTAATTTATTGTATATGTATTAGATAAATTATTGTTTTATTTCCCCATTATAATTAATTTATAATTATATTATATTATAATAAATGTATAATGTTGATTAGAACTAGTCAATTCCCTAAAGTGAATGTCACCTATGAATTTACTCTAAAAGAATCAATGATAATAATGTATTTTGAATGATTAAGTCTTTATCAAATAAAATTGATCTTGTTTTTTTATGGTTCTTATATCAGCGTTGATATTAGGATATGATAAGTATATTTAGTTGATGAGTACAAAATATGAAGTAGTAGGTATTTTGAATAATTCACTACTATTCACAATTCTTTGATTTCAAATAATAATAATTTACAAAGAATGGGGATTTGTGAAGGTTTAAGTGATTTTAATAATTGAATTTATGAGTTGATCTAACCTAGACCACCAGTGCAAAATCTGAAAGTACTAGACAGTCATTTCACTCTAGTATAGGACTCTTCAACAGTGTACATCCACGACCTGGTACGTGAAGCTTGAAACCAAAGTCTTTGGTTTTGCAAGCGAAAGCTTAACCTTTAAACTACTGAGTTAGGATCCAACGATGTTAATGTCTAATTAACAAGAAAATAAAATCATTTGGTTTGTTCATTTTAACAAATGAACAAGACGATCTTGGTTACATTGAAATTAATCATTTTATCCGATTGGTTTATTTTTCCTATAGTTAATTATTTTAGTTATATATTCTCATATTCACAACTGTTGTTATTTATTTATTCATTTATTTGAACACATAAATATTGGTACAAACGGGCACCGAATATATGTGCGCCACACAAGTCACTTTATTTGTGTGTTGGGTTATGATGCTGTCCGGGTGCTCAGATCGAAGCGGGTGGTTTTCTAAGGGGTTATAACAGGGGCCTTCGATCTAAAGGTTTGATTCACAAGACAGTGGAGCAATGTTAGGAAATGCAGTCTCATGTTAGCCGGTGACCAACGATTGGTTCATACACCTTTTGTTCCTTCAGGATCCTGGAACCTATGTACATCATTGGTTCGGAATCAGGGTTTTACAACTCCCCTAGGTAGATCCTCCATATCCACAAACTCGGTTTAAGCGCTGGACATTCGCTTTTCGTCCTTTCAATTTCGTAAACAATAGCAATGCCACGAGAAGGCAGTGAGTAGGACTTCCCTGACAGTGGTTGTATACACGTGTCCATGTGAGAGCATTTCGAGGAGAGTGGACTCTCCTCACCCTCGACTGTACCAGGGTATTCGGAAGCACAACTGTTACCATGTGAATGTGATTGTTGTATCACGCCTTTTGGCATATTGAATTAAAAAATTCTCTCATTAATAATTATTTTTTCTTCGATATTATTACAACCATGGGTGAGGTATTTCACTTGAGAAGTTATTGTTACATAGCGGAGTGAACTAATAGGATCGAACAAAAAAATCTTCGTTTACAATTTTACTTGAGTCGACATAATAATACCGTCATATAGAACGCCGATATTAGTTATCTGTTATAGAAGTGTATATAACCCAATCCCCCCCTAATTTTTTTTATTTTTGTGTAAAGCATTTACGTTTTTACAAGTTGATCGACAAAACTTCATGTAAAATACAAAAAAATTTTTTAAGCATATTACTTATTTAAGTTTCTACCAAAATAAGATAAAAGTTTCATAGATTATAAATTTAGCTTATTTTTTAATCATGTTACATTAGATAGTTGTTTCATTCTAGTATCGTACTATTCAGTAGTATGTACATACAACCAAACTGGTGGTCAAACTTACCATTTATATGTTTCATGCCCTGGTACGGCCGAAAGTGGGGAGAGTCCGCTCTCCCTCTCGAAATGCTCTCACATGGCCATGCGCATATAGCCTCTGCCAGGGAAGTCCTACTCACTGCCTTCTCGTGGCGGAGGTGTTGTTTACAAAAATGAGAGGACGAAAAGCGAATGTCTGGCGCTTTAACCGGACCCCAATGGCTCCAGTATCCTGAAGGAACAAATGGCGTATGAACCAATCGTTGGTCACCGGCTACCATGGGACTGCATCTCCTCACGATGCTCCACTGCCTTGTGGATCAGACGTTCAGGTCAAAGGCTCGGGGTGTGGCCCCCTAAGAAAACCACCTGCTTCGGTTTGGGCACCCGAGCAGTATCACAGCCCTCACACAAATCAATTGAGATTCGTGTGGCGCATATGTATTTGGTGCCTCCCTGTACCTATACTTATGTGTTAAAATAAATAAATAAATAAAAATAGAACCATTAGGTTAATATCCTATGGTACAGATTTTTTAATCCAACCAGTTTATGACGCAGATAAACGAATATCTAATGTAATCGGTGATAGCTACTTCATTTTTAGTATGTTTAAATTTGTCTAGTCACAATGAATACAACGTATATATATATTAAACTGATATCATGAATAGATCAATGTTGGATCACTATTGAAAACCTGGAATCGCTGGATAGCCTTTTCGTCCTAGTATGGGACTCCGACAAATTATTTATGGTATCACACAAGTTTTTTATTACGTTGCTTGCATTTTAAAGAGTTTAAGTTAAGAAAACTTTCCAAATGGTGTTTTTACCATAAAAGTTAATTCATTAGATTACATGAAAGAGTACACATTTATAAGATCAAATACGGGAATATATACAACTTACTGTTTAGTTATAATCAATGCGTATATCATGTATTATACATATAAACAGTGTTAAGTAGTTAGCGATAGTCGATACGAAAATATGAATCAAAGTTTCATACTAGTCGTCATTCTTTAATAAGAAGTATTTGCAACCTTGAACTCGAACTTTTCAGTCTTATAGTCTGTGATACTATCAATATGGTATTTGTGCCATGACTGATCTCCTATAGGAATGAGTTATTTGCAAATGATTAATCAATAAGTGGTAATGAATTTTATGTTCTTCTATTCCTTATTTCATTATATATATATATATTTCTTGGTTATCCTACGAAAAACTCCTGTTTCATTTATCATTTTTTTCTAAAGATTTACCATTGAAATTCTGGAAGGATCTTTCTACAAAATAGGTCTAAATAAAATTATAGTTTTACCAAAACAAAAATGTATGAGGTGACTGAAAATATTTGTATATTAGGATGAGGTTTTTGAAGTGTTCTAGTCTTTCAGCTAGATGGTTTTGAATAAGATCCTTAGAATATATTTTGAAGAGAAGTGAGTTAATAGAATTTCTCTACAATTGCCTAACATCTTGTTCTATTAAATTACAATTTGATTGGTTGTTTTCTATAGCTGTGTGGTTGTTAGTTGTATGTTTGTTTTTGGTTGTTGTTTTCTTTTTTGACCTCAATTCCAACTTGGTGATTGTTAATTCTTCATAAGTATAAGGTTGTTAACGCCTAACCTCAGTCAATTCACTATATTGTGGAACCATCTCCTTTTTTAGTTCTTTTTTATTGGATGGTAGATCTAGTCGACTTCTAGTATCTTACTTCTCTTTGAAGTATATGCTGATTATGTTACTCATAAGAACAAACGAAAGTTTCCTAACGAACAAAATCCAGGGCAGAAACTACAACACCTTCAACAGATTACAAGGTTACTATTTATTACAGTAGATTATAACTAAACATACATTGTGTGGTAACATGAAACCTTTAAAAGAATTTTAATATAGATATCGTTCTTTAAACATAATAAATCATATCATAGTAGTTTCAATAGTTGAAATCATGAGTTAATTGAAACTAGATCACCATGGAAAGCCTGGAAACATTGAACGGCCGTTTCATCCTGTTATGATAAATTATAATTGAAATTGTCATAAGTTAATAGCAGATACTCTGTTGAACGCTTTTACATTAATTGAGTTCGCTTTTGAGGGTATGAAATATCTGTTTATGTATTATTTCAACACTCACAGTGGAATATATTACCACTGAACTATTAAGAATTCACTAACTGCATATCTGTGATTTAATGGGGAATGGTCATTAATGAAGGTCAACCTAATAACTTCTTAGTCGCCTCCTAGATTCTACAAATATTTCTAGACTTAAATCTTTAATAGTAATGAATGTATACAAAGTATGAACAAAAGCTTCATATCAAGGTTAATTTCTGTACAGAAAACGTGAAGATTTGTAGGTTCACGGGTGGTCATCTCCTGGAAATACATTAATTAACTATCCAATAAAATGGTGACATAAATCACAGAAGTCTATTCGATGATGATTGGGTGAAACATTTTCAACCATTTTCCAAGCCTCTAGAGTCTTTCTTGAGGAATTCTTCGAGACTACCAACTGTTAACATGTGTAAAATCATTGAGTGAAGAATTAGTGAGTAATGATTCTAATTGCTCTCGACATTCATATATGTTCAATTTGTAGACGAACGGCATATACCTGGGCAAGAGGAATCATGATATAATCGACTACTGGGAATATATGTAAATTATTTCGGACAATGTACAGCGGAGATAACAAAATTCATAGCAATCACTGCCAAAACAATGATTAACTGTTAAAAGTTCGATCGATTGCCTAATATTCTTCCATCAACTACTCAATAGGTTTCTTTCAAATTCGAATGAATAAAAAGACATTTTTTTAGGATCATCGGTACATCTGAATTCTGACAATCATCTTTACATTAAATTTATGGGTTCCCGTTAAAAAGCCCGATTTGTTTGAGAACAAAATAAATAGTTTATAGAAAAATAGTTGGATTTGATTCAGTAACAAATTGTGACCAATACTTTAGGCAAAATGATTAATATTTTCATAGCTTAAGTCAAGTTCTGTTCTTAGCTAGACTATTACTGGAAACCAGGAACTACTAAAAAATTGTTTCATATTATTATCAGACTCTTCAGTATTATGAATTCTTGACCTTACTTCAGGCGATCTAACCCAAAAACTTTATTCATATACAAGAATATTAAACCTATAGATTACTGAATCAGAAGCCAATAATTCATCTAACAACTGATCCTTGAATTTACTGTTGATATAATTTTGGGACATTATCTATAATATTAGATAATAGATAATCATAAAATTCAGAAGGTGTCTTGAGGCCTATTTGTAACTGATCAACTTGATGAACTTTTATTTCAAACTAAACATTGAAGATGCCACAGGTATTCGGATTTTGACAACGCTTTAACCAGTAACACCTTCTAATATGAAGCGTACCCATCAAATTAAATCAAAAGACAGAAGCGAGGAGATCGAAGATATATTTGATAAGCTATCAATATATCGAGGATCGTTTGAACTAATCTGGCTAGCGATTGCGACAGATGTTGAGCACGGCGTTCTCACACGTGATCTGGTGCTGATGCTTGACCGAGCGCCTTCAGCTAGATGAGTCCACTAAAACTGTGGTCAGCATCCAATGTCGAAAACTTACAGAGCTATTTATTTTGGGGATTTATTTACCGTTACAACATCAACAACGGGAAGACACAAACCCTTACAAATTGAATTAGATAAAATATTGTTCCAGATATATCCCATTATGGTTATTATTAATGGGATAGGGTCATACAACTATGTAAATGGATATTGTTAAGTTCTCTACTCGAATACGCACGAAAAGACTCTATAACGGATGACACTCGAACGTTATAACCTCCAATCGCTCTCAAGTAAGAAGACGAAAGACGTTTGTGAGCACTTATTGACAAGAATCAAAATATACAATCAAACATGAGTATTTATACAAAATTATATACATAATCAATATTGTCATTTAAAAATTCTTAAACATTCATCAATAAGTTAATCAATTGACTGCTATTCAAATACTTAACATCTGATCGATAAATTAATCGATAACTTAGTCAATCGACTATGTACGTGGGTGGCTTCTCGGTGGTCATCCCAACACCTCCCCCGAATAAGATTTCTTTCTAGGATTTATTTGTAGCTTGACAACTGGGTTGCGGTGGTGTCTCATTATTCTTGTCGTCTTCCATATCCAAGGCTTCCTTTCAGTGTCCTTGGGCATATGTATCGTTGGTACGTCCAAGGTTGACTCTAACGGGAATTTTGGCCGGTTATTTCGAGTCTGCATCGTTCTTTTGTCCTTATGGATTTGATTCGTATGTCGTATACATGTTCCAAAAGTTCCTCGGACTCTGTACAGAACTTTTCCTAACTTTTGTACAATTTTTCCCGGCTCCCATCGGTTCTTTCCGGTGTAGGATTTAATGAAAACTTCGTCGCCGACATTAAAGTTCCGCATATTTGGATTTTGATTGTGCCCGTACACAAATTTCGATGGCAACATGGCGTTGAAAACGGTTCGAATACGCCTTCCAAACATGGCTTCGGCAGGAGACTTACCGTCTGGAACATTTGGGTTCGGAGTGGTTCTGTAGGTTGTCAGAAATTTTGTGATTACCTGTCCAGTTGTCCCTTCGCCTCCCCCTTTCAGTAGTGCTCGTTTAAAAGTGTCCACAAAGCGTTCTGCTTGTCCGTTCGATTGTGGATGATAGGGCGGAGAACGAAGATGAGTTATTCCATTTGCGTTACAGAAATACTTAAACGATTCTGCAATGAATTGCGAGCCATTATCAGTTACTACGATCTCTGGAACTCCGAAGCAGCTAAATAAGGTAGACAACTTGTGGATTGTTTCTGACGTTGTACAATTTGCCATGGTATATACTTCTGGCCACTTAGTAAATGCGTCTACGATAATTAGAAACATTGGGGTTTCCCCGCGTGGGTTCGAATCCCATCCCCGTCGCCACTGTTAAGTTCTCTACTCGAATACGCACGAAAAGACTCTATAACGGATGACACTCGAACGTTATAACCTCCAATCGCTCTCAAGTAAGAAGACGAAAGACGTTTGTGAGCACTTATTGACAAGAATCAAAATATACAATCAAACATGAGTATTTATACAAAATTATATACATAATCAATATTGTCATTTAAAAATTCTTAAACATTCATCAATAAGTTAATCAATTGACTGCTATTCAAATACTTAACATCTGATCGATAAATTAATCGATAACTTAGTCAATCGACTATGTACGTGGGTGGCTTCTCGGTGGTCATCCCAACAGATATAAATATAAAAAACAGATGTGTGGAAGACTTTTAGAGAAAACCATTTCTCGAAATTAAGTCATATGCTTTTCTGTGATGATCCTGTTACTAGAACCAGAAATAAGAATAAACTTCTTGAATTAGACCCACCTAAGTACATTTATTAATTCAATTATCTCAATCATATTAAGTGCGCAATTATACCACCTAATGACTCAAATTTGGAATGAAAACATCCAATCAGGATAATTAAAAAGCAGTTAAAACCAATCAAGGAACTACATACAGGTTTACTTTTTAAAACGGAACACCAAGTAGATACAATTAAAGTATTTCAAATCATCTACTGGAACCCATCGACTTTTCCATAACGTTTACGTAGACATCTTTTAAATCTAGCCTGAAGTCACTAGCATCCATCTTAATAAACCTGACATCAGTGTATACAAGAAATGTACACAACTGTTCTCTTTATTCTGACCATAAGATTGGATTACAATCGTCTTATTATATTCTCTCTTTGACCAATATCTTTTTAAGTTTTTCTGATGTATCAGAACGGGTTTGGGGGATATTATAGTGATTTTTAATAGTTGAGATCATGAACCGATTGAAGCTAGACCACAATGGAAAACCTGGAAGTAGTAAACAGCCGTCTCGTTCTATTGTGGGACTCCTCAGTAGTGCACATCCACGATCCCACCCTACGAGATTTGAACCCAGGACCTATCGGTCTCGTGAGCGTGAGCTTAACCTCTAGACAACTGAGCCGACAAGGATCCAACGGTGTTAATATTTAACTGCAACTAATGCATGAAATTGAGCGACACATCCTGTTGTCTTTTTATTGTTGCATAATTGTGACATCCTCTTCTTTTTATCCTTATGCAACTGTTATTAATATTCCATTTATTATGCAATCTATAAGTAAGTGTCTCAATTCATTCATTTACTGCTGCACCTCATTGTTTCCATAGTCTTATACCAGGACGAAACGACCATCCGGTACTTCCAGGTTTTTAATGTTGGTCTAGCTCAGATCAACTTATGAATTTAACAGTTAAAAATTACTACAATCTCCACAAATCCCCATTATAATAGTTAATTATTAATTTAATAATTAAATTCATAAAGACTACTGAATTTTTCTGATTGTTATCTAATATATCACAATTAGCTTGGTATTGATTTTATTACCATTATTATTCTTAAACATATATAGTTGTATTATAGGCGGGATTATTGAGACTATCGATTTTCATAGGTGATATCACGGACTGATCTTAGTTATATAACTAATGAAAACCAAGAAGTACTGACTGATTGTTTAGCTCTAATAGTATACTATTCAGTAATGGGTATCCATAACTTCATAGTAAATTGAATAAAGATTGTTCAGATCTTGAGACGAGAGTTTAACATTTAGAGGTGAAAAGAAAGTTATGGTGAGACTATAATTTATGGACGAACGAATCACATTTAAGATAATAGATCTCGGATTTTGGAGCGAAATTCACTCATCCATTCGGATAAATAGAGTTTTCGCACTACAACTGATATCAGTTTGTGATGAAAACCCTAAATCTAATTCCTAACCTTAATCATCAACTGTAAATCGTAATTCTAATTCCTCACACAGGTTTATAACTCTCATTTGATCCTAGTTATTAGGTGGACACTCTCAAGGTCATTTTAGCCTCACTCAAAGGTTGTCTATAAATTATGGTCTCACTGAAAGTTATTTTTACTCTATTCATATTATCTTTAATGTTTAAATAGGAAATTTTGATTCAGTGAAAACATGTATGTACTTTTATAGTGTACCATTTAGGTCGTACCCTGTTGATTTGCGATCTATATTTTATAAATATAAGAAAATAATAGATGTTTTTCTCCTTTCTGTATATGTACATGTATTCAACAGGACTGGACAACTAAGTTATTCATGTAATTTTCTATCATTCATCTTCAACATACAACGATTTATCATATTTTGTTGAAAGAGAATTCAATCAGATTTTTATATTGACATAAACATACATGTATGTACAGTAAATGGATAATAAGATGTAAGGTTCTTTGATGGGAAAATTAAATTGATGAGAACTGGTGTTATTATGCATAATAATAATAATAATAATAATAATAATAATAATAATAGTGTAGTGAATAAGAACACAAATGCAGACAATCAAATGTATTTCAACACCAAATTACAGAATCTCATAGTAAAATCTGAGAACTATACAGTAAATATTTTATTTGCAAATTATCAGTCAATCGTTTCAGACTTGATTGTTCCTTCATTTCCACATCAATCATTCTCTATTCCTGTTTTCTTTTCTTCCATCTTCTTAACCTTCTGCCACCAGGTATTTCACTTTCGACTGATAATACCTACTACTTATATGTGTCGGCATCAGTAGCACACACCACAATAGTGGTACTAATGGTAATAACAATAATAAAAATTAGTGCAAATAGTAGTAAAAAACGAGGAAGAATGTATTGGTAAAATCTCAGTGACTGAATTTGAAGTAAATCTAATTTTTCGCCTGGCAATCTTGGACCGGATTACTAGGATAAAAGTTGGATTTATTTCAAATTCATTCACTGAGATTTTACAATTACATTCTTCTTCATAAATGTCTCATATCAACTCGGCACTCAAATACTATGAAACTTCTTTTGGTATTGTTTACTTGAATCTGTAATTGATCAGTCTCTTATTGGCATATGTGCATACTGTGCGTATTACCTCGATATTGCCTGAAGTCACAAACTTTATAGGCAAAGATGGATAGTGGCTAGCAGTGGAAAACAGGACGCACGTTTCGTTCTATTTAGGACTCGTCAGCTGGATGTGCCTACATCTCGGAGTTGATGTGTCACTCTGGGACTCGAACACAGCACCGTTCGCCTCAAACGCCATCACGTTATTCACTTAGTTACTGAGTCCTGACAGCCACTAGTTTGTGGAATGGAGTGAAGTTAAAATTCACTTGGTATGGTTTACTTGAATCTTCTCATCAATTCGGATACATCCAGCTGACGACTCCAAAACAGGACTAAACGCGCTTCCTGGATTCCATTGCTAACCACTATCCATCTTTGCTTACTGTGAAACTATTTGATCAAATTTAGACGAGCGTCCTTATAAGTAGTAATAAACTATTATGTACGTATAATTATAAATTAATTTCTGAAAATCATGAAATAGTCAACTTAATAGTAGAAATATTCATGAATTCTATGTGAAAAAGAAGTAGACTTACAGATTCTGAGGTGTAGACATTATCCAACTCACCGTCAAAACCTATTCTCATTTTTTAATTTTAAAAACTCGTTCAGTATGGCTAAGTAATAAATAATATGGTATGCTTGGTACTTAAACATTTGATAATGTCTTTCTAACCACTTGTTAGTCTCTCAGGATTCTCGCCGAACAGAAGATAAAGTGCGGGAACAATAAAATAAAGCTTTATTTTCACGGCTAGTCCAAGTACAGAAAATAAGGATATTTATAGAAGATTCTGGTGAGATGCTACAATTATTGACTGAATCGATAATTATCTAATCAGAATACAACCCATTGTTTATTGATCGTGTAGAATCCTATCAGGATTTTCGATTGAATACCGATAGGACGAAATATGTAACTTCCTGTATGGGAGTTGTGGAGATAGTTGAATATTCTTGTGATCACGAACCTACCAAAGTAAAATAATAATTGAAAACCTAGAAGTACTGGATAGTTGTTTCATTATAATATGGAAAACTTTAGCTGTGAATATACACAAATGAAACACAAGCGATCAAGCCGAGGAACTTCGGCCTCGCGTTGAACGTCTAGCAATAAGATATGTGAGTCCGAATTTAATGGTGGATTTATTTAAATTCGGTCGCTTCACGGAGTTTTCCAACTATCTTCCGTCTTATTCACACTGACTAGCTTCGAGAGGGAATTTCTCGAGTTCTATTGAGAAGACTTGACTACTTGAATTTCAATACATTGAGGTTGAAGCAGTTGCCTACCAATGACATTTAATGATAGCTGTAAATATGCATCGCCGAAGCTTCTCATACTAGAGTGAAACACCTATCCAATACTCTTAGTTTTTAAATTGTTGTATAACTTAATTAGGTCCGTGATCTCAATAATATAACAGTTTCTATCTATCTATCTATCTATCTATCTATCTATCTATCTATCTATCTATCTATCTATCTATCTATCTATCTATCTATCTATCTATCTATCTATCTATCTATCTATCTATCTATCTATATGCATATGGTATTGCATATTATCTTGTTCCATCATTCTATAAATTCTTTATCACTTATATTCTCAGAAACGTGTCTAAGGGATAATCTGGCTATGGCTATTTATAATGTTTTTAGTGTTCAATAAGTATCCTATTTTCAACATTTTCAGCGATTTTCCCAATTACCTTGGAAATGCTTAATATTATTTAAATTTCATTAAAAATATCATTTTTAACAATTAACACTGATCGGTAATTGAGCCAGTAATATGACTGAAGTTTCTAGGCGGGATATCTTCAGTGAATAGTAGAAATATTCCTGATAAACCACCATAGAAATTACTTGATCATCATTTATTTCCTATAAGTTATGAATTAAATATAAGACTGTACAATTAAATGTCATTACATAGACGATAATAAAATGAATGAGTTTAGAGGATAAACACACACACACACTAACACGCAACTAACACTTAAACGACAATAGAATAAGATAAACTCTTATTTAATTCTATATGTGTACCGTCTACTTGTTTATTAAAGAACGAATCCACATTTGACCTTTGTCACAGAAACTAAACAATATATATATATATATATATATATATATATATATAATGACTATAACAGCTGTAATTTTTTATGCATAATTCACTTACTACTGAGATGACGTTTGATTATTTTTATACATGTGTGTGGTTTCACATCACAGTTCATTATCCGATTTCGCTATTTGACTTCATATTTGTATGTGTGTGTGTGTGCGTAGTTGCTTATTGTAGCACAGTATATCCCGGTTAAATGTTCTTATAGTCAATATTGTATCCAACTGCATTTCAAATAATATTTTCATATACACAGATATAATAAATCCATTTAAAATAAATGAGAATTCCACAAATATTTGAAAATGTCAACCATAAAACCAATTATCAGATAAACACAACAAAAGCAAATAAATTTACCATACATTAGTTTTATATACTGACCACTTGTAGTCTAGTTTATCAAAAAAAAAAAGAATGGAAAAAATTACAAACTGTTAGATTTTCGCTGTTTGAAGTGAAGAGTATTAGGTTTAAGTTTCAGTATGAACATCAACACTAGAATGTAGGTAGTATATCCATCTGGGGAGTCTGATATAGAACGAAACGTGCGTCTTGGATCCCTCTGATAGCCATATATCAAATATACCAAAATTTTTGATGTAACTTATATTGAAATCATTCATTCAGGATGTAGGTAAATCAGACAATGGAAAATGACAAATTGTAGTTTTCAATATCAATAATGGGGAATTATAAATCCTATGATTTTCTGTTCATAAATGATTTTATGATGACTTATAAATAAATGATTATATAGCCGTTTTTATTCACTGATTACCATGGAATCGAGGACACACGTTTCATCTTATTTGGGACTTATTACCTTAATGTACTTGCTTCTCAGAGAGAAACTGATCAGTTTCCATTCTAAACATCAATCGGAAGATTCAAACAACCAATACAAATGAATTAAACTAGTGTCTGTCTGGACTCATTAATTGAAAGGATAAAGCGATGGCATTTGAAGCGAATGGTAATGGGTTCAAGTCCCGAAACAAACATCAACTCTGGAATCCAAGTACATTCATCTGTCGCATCTCAAATGAGACGAAACTTGATTCCCTCATTCCACTGCCAACCACCATTTAATTTTATTTAATATGCTTGTGAATTAATAGTTATACGAAAGTAATCCGCACAGGATGCACATATAGCAATAATAAACTGATCAATCGTAGTTGTCAACGTCATTAGGAAAATTCAAACGACTGATACATATGCATTAGAATTCAGTGCGTTTTGGTTTTTGAATGATTCCCTGGGTCATTTTGCTTTATGCTTGTGAAAATATTTTTTAATTCTTCAGCTTTTTCAAAGTTAGTTGATTTAAATCAATGGATATTAATAGCAGAATCAAATTTAAACAATAATTAGATATATTTGTACACAGGCGAATGTAGGGATTGTAACTGTCATTTTGTTAGGTGGTAGGAATGAGTTGAAAGGAAACCCTGAACTAATTTTTTTCATCCTAGATCTTACTCGTCAACGAGGCATAAATGTTATCTCGAGGGAACCACTGCTCTCAGGGGACATAAAACCCGTGTCACACAATTTCATAGTTTGAGATGTTGCCACTAAGACTGGTGGTCATATTGCAACTTCATTAATAGGATTCAACCAACAGTAAAGGATCAAACGAACGTGAGCTTCGTCACTACTCAATGATCAATCAATTGTTACGATCAAAAATTATATTGTGCATCGTCATTTTTAGTAGTTTGACTATTCAAGGCACATTCGAATTATCAAATACATGAATAAACAATTTCGATGAATCAGTTCAAATGTAACTATTATTACAGCTAATCAATACGATTTAGATCCAGTCACATATAAATATTTTATGAACGAGGAATGTGGTGGGGAAGACCAGTTTATTGTTTAATGCACAAAACCAGTAATTTAGTAAAATGTGAAAATCGTACATCAAATACATAATTTGCACATCTTTGAATTGTCTCTTACAAGCTTCATGGTTCCTTCATTCCTGTTGTTATCTTGAGTGCTTTTAGTTCCCTTTTCTCAGTGAGACTATAATTTATGGATGACCATTTAGCGACGCCAAAGTGACCTTGAGAGTGTCCACCTAATAAGTAGGATCAAATGAGAGTTATAAACCTGTGTGAGGAATTAGAATTACGATTTACAGTTGATGATTAAGGTTAGGAATTAGATTTAGGGTTTTCATCACAAACTGATATCAGTTGTAGTGCGAAAACTCTATTTATCCGAATGGATGAGTGAATTTCGCTCCAAAATCCGAGATCTATTATCTTAAATGTGATTGGTTCGTTCATTAATTATAGTCTCACTCTTTGCTCTTCTCTTCATTTCAATTTTTTAAACCTTCTACTGTCAAACACTCCACTTCCAACTGGTGTTACATACTACTTATATCTGCAAACATAAGTAGCATACACCACACATACACTATAATCGGTAATAACATTTCCAGGAAATACTGAAAATTTGAGAAATTTCTCTGTAAATCAGATTCAATCTATGGAAGATCCAACATTTAATGTACATAAGTTACGTTATATATAATGAAAATTCTGATTCAATACTTTTCACAACTTATCATTTGCTTTGATATACATACATTGTAAAAATTGAAATGTTTAAGTATTTTTTTTATAAATTATAGTCTTAACAAAGGGGAATTCAAAATATATTCCATAGCATTTGGTTACTGGCATCAACTATAAAGTGGGTAAATCGTCTATCTGTCAAAGAAAGAATGAGTATACTGCGCAGCAGTTAGTATTGTGCTAATTCATGGGCACGAAACGTGAGCTTTAACAAAGGAAGACATTTGCAGATTATAAATATCTGGTCATAGGTATCTTTAAAATGTAGCTTATGTAAGTTGGAATCACCGACTAAGTAATAGTGAAGTAAAATATACACTATTGATTAAAGACTACAAATCGGTTGATAAGGTAGCATGTGTTACATATGCCTAACCACCGCTTACCTCACCATGTGATATTTACTGGTTTGAGTTGATTTGAAGAAGATTAGTACTTTATTGACAATCTAATTTTCTTTCTGTTAGTACGAGTTTTTGAGGATTGCCAATTGTAATTGAGATCACTAGGCGATCTAGGTTAGGCAACCAGTAGAAGGCTGTTGTGTCCTAGTTTCAACTCCTCAGCCGTGCACAGCGATGATCCCATCACAAGAACTCGAATCCGGAACCTTCAGCTTCATCAAGAACTCTTGACTTCGAGAACGTCATTCTAGAATTTAATGGTATACAACTTTGGTTTCAATCTATCTGCAACCATGTTCCAATGTCTTCGGTGGAAAGCTACCCTCACCCGATACGGTTGAACATCAATGGTTATTACTTCTCACTAGAACTTTGGAAAATTTTCCAAGAAGCTAGTCACTAGTGAGCAAATGATTCAGAGTCGTGGAAATGTATTGCTGGTGAGTCCAGTACTGAAAATTAACTAGCTTTCTGTGCTTTCAAATTTTCAGTATTTGTCTAATACGAGGTTTGACATAAAATTTGTTTTTTCTTAATTCTAAATTACAAAAGTAATTCATTTTCAAACTAAAGGATGCTATGGATTTTTTATTCAGATAATTCAACAGTGAAACATTTGTCAAACAATTTTAAGGTGCTTACCGAATCTAAATATTATTTTAAATAATGGTTATTATTATAATTTTTTTTTTGATGTTCAATAACTGAAGTCAATTGATTAGAAAGTCTGTTTGAATAAAGTTTCACATGAATTTACACTTATCAATTAGAAGCATATAGAATCTTAATGAAGCAGATAACTTCTTCATGGATTCGAATCATGGTTATATAGTTTTACAGTTTTTGATAGACTATTATTTCATTGATTTTATTTGATAATTTTTTATAACTATAGGATATCATTTATAGATTATTGATCTTATTAAACTACTTACCCATTTCTATATAAGTTGAAAAAAACAATCTTCATCTATTGTTCCCTAGAGAAAGGTCTAATCAACAAGTATTTATCTAAAAATCAATATATCAATTTTAATTATTTTCTTTGTATTATTGTATTTGTTTAATATTTATCTACACTTATTGAAAAAAAAGAAAAAAAAGAAAAAAAAGATAACGGAAAACATTGAATTATTAACATGGAAGTAAAATACGCCCGCCCATGATGTTATTCATTCATTCATTCAACCGTATTCTTATGTAAAGTTGGTATAGTTAAATTTTAAATTGATAAAACTAAAAGGAAAGAAAACAGAGCAAGAAAATCATTAAGATTAGAGGACATTTTAGTACTAAATTCTACCGAATCTGTCTCCCAAATTAGAGACGCCAAATGTTATATATATAAAAGCGCATATAGACCACCCAGTTACTAAAGTGAATATATATTGACTAAGAACTTGTGGTCAATAATAATGAATATAAATATATCACCACAATGGTTTACTACGTATTTCATAGACTAATTTAGACAGTTTAATTTATTCTAGGTAAACTGTGATGAGAGACAACTATTATAGTGAATATTAGGATGAAAGAATATATATAATAATAATAATGAACTTTTAACTCTTTTGATGTTCACTCAGTTTGCTTTGATTGTTCATAAGTACCCCACCCTTTTACTAATACCATCTTCTTTCAACTTTTATCTCCGGCTTTTTCTTTCTTTTTTTTTCATTTCTAAAATATACACTTTTAGCCACTTATCAACGTATAAAAATAAACGAAGTTTACTAGTGATTCATTTTTCAAGGTCAACACAAAAATAGACATACACAATAATCATTGACAATATTAAAAAAAAGAAGTAGAAAACAAAATAATTAGTTTATTATTTTGTTTTACTTTACTAGAGTTCGACTTTTTCTGGCATTTAAATAAACTAAATAACATAGTAACAATAACATGATGTATAAGTTAATAAATGGTTGATTGTTTTCATGAAAGTTTTGTCTGTATCTAAGTGTTTATGTTTTGGTGTTTGAAATGAGATAAAACCCAATGAATTTCATAGTTTACATAACAGATTGACTCTAGTTAAACATTCTATAAGGATCAAGAAGTATTAGATTACTATTTCGTTCTACTGTGAGACTCTTCAATGGCAGTACGCATCCAAAATGTCACAGGAGATTATCACAAAGACTTTTAGGTATCTCAAGGAGAGTTTAACCGTTAAACTATTAACTGAGTTGACATTTAATGAGTTTTATGTTTAACTCTAATCATTTAGAGTATAGAGGTTTATGGAGAGCTTGTGTTCGACGGTGGATGAGATTGTGGGTCAATATATCTAAGGTGTCGAAATAGTTACCAACGGTTGTCTAACTTTGCTTGCCTTTTAACTCCAATAAAATGTAATCAACTTGCTTAGAAGGAAATAATAATGAAATTATTTCAGATTTTATATTTAAATTTAAAATAATAATTATCATTTATGAGATTAATATCTAACTGTCATTCTTTCCGAACACTTAAAGTTACTGCTATGTAGCGATTCACGGTATTGAACATTAAAAACTGAAACAGATCAACTATCGATGCATATATTATATTTATGATTACGTTTGAACAAAAAAAACAACTGTTAAAAACATCAATTGAATGATGAAATAGTTCTTTTCTCACTTAGTTTTTCATTAAAGCCCTACGCTAATGATATACGTTTTACAGTTAAACATTAAGTTAATACCAAATATCAAATGGTGGTTAGTTCATTCGTCAATGTTTTATCAGTTTATCAGTTCAATAGATGTAAAGATAAGATTATGTAATTAGCTAATTCTAGCGATTTGTTGCATAAGAATGTGGGGGGGAGGTTCAGTAAGTTCGAAATTAAGCAATTGATTATAAATGCTGAGGAGTCCCACAATATGACGAAACGGCCGTCCAGTGCTTCCAGGTTTTCAATGGTGGTCTAACATCAATCGGTTCATGATCTCAATCAAAAAAATTATTTGCAATTAATTAAATTTGTGAAAAGAAAATTAGACAATAAAACCATTCGGATAGATAGATCATATAAAATGAAATTATAAATTAACGTACTTACGCCTGTTACCCCTCGTGAAGGAGCATAGGCCGCCTACTATTATAAAATAAAACTGAATAAAACTAGAAAAATTGAAAACAGTAGGCTATAATAAATTAAGGGGCTGAACTAAACATTCTCTGTACGCAAAGATTTACTTTATTGATGTGTATATCTTTGGTTTCTATCGCATGTAAAAGACGAGGTTTGGAAATGTAAAGCAAGTTTTATGGAATTCTATACATAACTTTGAAAGCCAAATTTATATCAATATGGTAACCGGTATCTACTGGCTAGATCAAGAATATAGTTTCTTGTTGTTCTGTTACTCCTTTGATCAACCAAGAAGGGTGGTATTCAAAAATATAATGATGTATTTTTTGTTAAAAAAATATAACTTCTAGGTTGTTTCAATAGGATATATAACATTATAATATTGTTAGGTAGTGGTTAGGATCTAGTTATTCTTAGTTGGGAAGCTGTGACATCCTGTGGAACTATGAATGGTGTATCAAAGGATTATTTCAGTGCCATTAAAGGGTAACTATAATTATTTGTAACTAGAGAAAAATGTAGACACAGAGAACATTGACAGCAAAATTACCGCAATTCGTCTGTCGTTATACATATGACTTATCAAGTTCGATAAGTGTTATTTAACTAATCAGGGGATAGTGTGAGTGCAAAGTAACTGCAAGGAAGTAAGTTTAGTAAGTATGCTCAGTAATAACAGTGATTAAACATTTAATTTCATTAATAACCACATGTGTAGGTGAAATTTTTCAGTCATTTTCAGAGTATAGGCAACCATCGATATAACAAGCAAATGATGGTAATGACTCTATATCATGGGCAGCTTTGTAGTAAACTGTTGTAGTAGAGTCTTGAAAATTTACATGTAAAATGATTTATATCGAGAGATTTAGAATCTGGGTCTATACAGAATTACGACTATTGCCATTAGATGATTTTGCATATTGGATTAGAGCAGCGACTGTAAGGATTAGTTTATTTCGTGTTTAAAAAAATTGAATTTAGTTTAATAAGTGACAAATGAATGGTTCCTGGCGTTTTAGTGAGAAGCGGTGACCAGTGGAGTCCAATCCGTGTCTGATGGAAACAATTATCTACCTCAGACAATCGATGAATGGTTGCTAAATATTGTGGATCGATTGAAGCTAGACATTAATGTCTTTGGATGCCGGTTCAGTGGTCTACAGGTTGTGTTCGCTGGCGAGCTTGAGTCCCACGTGCGAGATCGTGGATGAGCATTGTTAAAGAGTCCCATACTAGGACGGAACAGCAGTCCAGTGCTTTCAACTTAGATCAATTCATGAATTCAATTAATAGGATTAAATCTAATTTTAATACTTATGGATTTATAATGTATTATATGTTCTACATATATTATGTATGAATGTCTTGTATTGAACCCTATAGTATCCAACTTCTGTGAAGTTTATAGTTAAAATGAATTAATCGTTAAAGTATTCATGATTTCAAATGTTTGAATTTTTTTTAGTGAATAGATGAAATTTCTTTAGTTTTTTTAAAAAAGGTATTTTACACTAAAATAATTCCGATCGATATTTTGTCTCTGTATGGCAACGTAGTTACATTTCATGCATAATTAACAACTGAAAGGGGTATAATAGTTTCCTTAAAAATAAGGATTTATTGAAAAGCAACAGTTGTGTTTAGATTCAATAAAATAAAGTCCTTTATTAACTTCTCAAAACAATGTTTTCAATCTTTACAAAATACTATCAGGTATACTGAATGAAAAGTTAACTTTTTTAAAAGTAGGAATATTATTAATTGTCCCTATTCTAGCCATGAAGGTTGGAAAAGCCTTTTAGAGAACTCAACTGACTTTGTTGGATACTATTTTTATTTACTCTTTGAGATATCTATAGAGACTTATGGTTGTTTTCAGTGAGGAACCATCTGATGAAAAGTCCCAAAGAATAAGCTATTAGAATCTGCTGTTGTAGATTGGGCAAGATGGATACCACTTTAGAAATTACCGATTATATCCACATCTGTAGTACACACTAATCCAGGATGAATGCACTTCACGGAACATACATAAGAGTAAATGGAATCATTGTAACAGTTTTTGTTCAGCTTTACACTACATACACATTTGAAGTACACAAGTCGAATAGAATCATGCACCCCATAAAATACGTATTGACATAAATACTAAACCCTGTGCATTTGTGTTAAGCAAAACACTAATTTATTCTGAGGCCAAGATGGAGTAGTGAAGTAAGTTGCTCTTTATAGGCTACTCAAGTTAGTCCATAGATCACACTCCCACTATTCCTCGAACTCCACACAAAGATATGAATTGGATTTCGCTTGGAGAGATTAATGAACATGTTATTGAAATGTTGATATCCA